CCTCTCTCTCTACTCTCTCTCTCTCTCTCTCTCTCTCTCTCTCGCTCTCTCTCGCTCTTTTCCTCGGCGTGGTACTAAAAATGCTAAATTGCAAAAAAGAGGCGCCGCTGTTTTTTGTTTCTTTTTTTTACTTCCGTCACTTGTCTCCACCAGTGTCTCTTTCTTTTTTATCATTTTTTTTTTTAAATCTTTTTATTTCTTTTAATCGTTTTGTTAATCAGTGATCGGTACTTCGGGAAGATCGTATTGTGCATCTTTCGCTACTTGCTTCTCATAATCGTTTACGAAACTATTAAGAAACGCTACGTCCTATCACCTACTTCGCGCTAAAGGTTCTCCTCACTTGCTTTCGTTCGTTTATAATAATCTACGCGCTTTAACGTTGCTCGCTCCTTCATGTCAAATCGTCTCGTGAGAAGCCGCTGCATTCACTTTTCCATTTCCGTTCTTTCCGTCTCTCTCTCTCTCTCTCTCTCTCTCTCTCTCGTTCACGTATACGCTTTTCTCCCCTCTCGCGAATCTCGGTTTCACTTTCACGAATCGATCCGAAACCACGTCTGGCCTGTTTCTTCTTTCCTCGTTGAAGGTAGTATCGGTAGACGATAAGGCGAACGGTTGACAATTAGACGCGACGATCGGCGATGATCCTCGCTCTTCTTCCTCTTCTTCTCGATCGCGATCTCGAGTAGTCCTCGGTTACCACAACCGATCGCCACGGATCAACGTGGAATCTATCGTATAAGATAGAATTAGATAGAAAGGTAGAAGATTAACTCGATGCTAGAGATGCGAAAGTCGGTGAAGACGCGAGGGGTCAAAAACAGCGCTCGGCCACGCGGACTTGGTTCTCTTCGCGAATGTCCTGTAGCAAGAAGAGCGAGAACGATAGGTAAGACGTATGTTAGCAGCGGCTAAAGAGTTTAAGAACAAGGATGACTCGTAGAGAGAACGCGGCGCAAACACGATGTTTCGTTTTTCTCGGAACCGCGAAGCTACTACTCCCTTCTTTTTCTAGTTTCGAGTCGAGAGTATACAAAAGTGTGTACAACGTTTGAAGTATATGCGCGAAGAGTGAAATTT